CAAATTAGTCTTTAGAATGATCTTACATCTTTAAAGATAATTGGGATATAAAATCACAGGTGGTAACCTTCTTCCAAATATTTTCCAAGGATGTCTTACGCATCATGATAGGCTATATCCCGGGTACCTACTACAGTGTGAACTCCTAACAGGACTCCCTCGCTCTTATGGGTTAATTAATTGTGGGATTAAAGGACCATTGACTTGCTTTGGGTTTCTACTAAGGCTTCCCTTGTGAATTTTGTGCAGAAGTCCCCCACTTAGTTTGCACATTTTGTATAGATAGTTTTATTCAGAAATTAGCAAACCATTTAATGTAGACGGTGCTGAGCCAAAGCTGGTTCTCCCACTTAGTATGAGGAAGACTGCGGCTACGTTTGCCGCAGTCACACAGCAGAACTCTGCTGCTGAATTTTGGGGCCCCAGAGCGACAGTGCCCTCCGGCTAAGTTTAACCATCCATCTGCTGAGATGCTGGGCCCCCCGAACATCTGGATGAGGAGTGAACAACGGGATGGATGTGCCCTGGTGTGCAGACCTTGCATGGAGATAATTAGTTGAGAATACTACTGTTCTTCCAGATTCCTAGAGCCTCTTTCTGGAGATTTCTATTTTCAAGGTATTCCTCACAGGGACTCCCATGCATCATTGAAATCCTGAAATTTTCTTATTTTCCTCTCTTTTCTTTCTTTCCTTTTTTTTCTCTCCTTTTTTTTCTCGATGATTGCTGGGAGATAGGGAGATTGCTTTTAAAATGGTAGCAAGGTTTCCTTAACCCTCTTTAAGGATTTAGGTGTGGTGCTTTAATTTTTGAAACACAAAAATATTTCTAATCCAGCTTCCTTTATGACCTTTCAAATTATAATTGAAAGAGAGGAACTGTGATAATAAGAGCATATGCTTATGAATGGGAGTTCTCACAACAGTGCTATTTCCTTGTCTGCCGTTTGTGAAGATTATTTTAAGTCCTCGCTCACGCTGGCTTTCTTTTCTGCCTTGTTTATATTCTCAGGGTATAAAAATACAGTAGTCAGAAAGCTCCTCTTGGGGAGTCTGCACTGAGTGCTTGTCTGAGGATTCCTTTCTAAATGGACTCTGGTATCGTTTTAGCACTCATATTGTTGGCCGAAATCTGAGCTTCCCAGGGAAATTAGAGCAGTTAATTTAATATCATGAAACGTTTGGGGGCTTCTTGGCTTATTCCGAGTCAGGGGAATGTAAATCAAATTGAGTATTCTATATAAAGCAGAGGACAATAAAAGTGGCCTCTAAAAAATAGTCAGCCTCCCCCTCAGTCCACTGGCTGCCTGACCCTCATCTCCACTCCAGGCCTCTGGAAATCTCGTTTATTCCAAGTCTTCTTCTCGGGCTCCCTAGTAGATGTCTGCATCTCAGAAAAATGGGGAAGTCGGGAAGGCATTTAGCCCTCTGTGGGCACAGTGGGTGTGCTCCTTCGTTATCAAGCACAGTAGGACCACAGGGCCATGGCCAGGACAGTGTGGCTTGTGACAGAGAACTTTATCCCATACAGTTTGAGCCCAGCCCCAATGCACTTTCCATAGATGGACTTATTCTGCAACCATCAGCAATTGTCTGTGAAGTGCCAGGCACTGTGCTGGGCACTGGGATAAGTTACTTTCTGCAGAAAGAAGCGAATATTCAGCGGCAGCGGGAAATACACTTCTTGTCACCAACGAAAGCTAGAAAGCGAGCTCTCCGGCGTCCTCAGACCGCAGAGTTCTTTCTGCTCACATTTCCAAAGTTCTTTTTGCACACACCTCCTGAGTGATGGGGTGTGTGGTGCAGGATGGACAGTGGGTTTTGTTGATTTGTTTTTGAGAGCGTCTTTGAATGAGGCCTTTCAAAGGCACAATAAAGACCTTTGACCTGAGAGCTTAGAATACATGCCAGCAGCCCTGGTGGGTTCTGTGTGTTTAGTAAGCACTCCACCCTCAGCACTCACCACCCTCAAAGAAATGCTGGGCTGGTGTTTATTTCCCCTCCCCACTCCTGTGCTTGAGGGCTAACTTTTATGTCTCTGAGGTATACTTTTGCCAGGAAACAGAAGCCTGTCTGAACCAAGTGCATATTTAGTTGGTTTTGAGGACTATTTATATGAAATATCAGGAATGCTTGTGGACAGTTAATTTGGGCTTTTTACAAATGCTGTGATGCTCGGTGCCAGGGAGATACAATAGCTGGGAAGTGGGGTAACTGCCTGGTGGGCTCCCATCAGCCCTGCAGCCTCCCAGAGTGAATGGGGCATCTTTGCTACCAGGGTTGGGATAGAGTTCTTCTTTGTTTTATCTATGATTATAATGGAATCTCTATAATATAATCTCTATAATAACAATCTCTGTTATAACAAATACCTTCTAGAAAAGCACACTTAGGCATATTTATTTTAAACTTTGATATAGTTCATGTTTTAAAATAGACTATAAAATATACCCCTACAATGCTTATGATGCTCACTTTTCCCTATTACAGAGAAAGAACTAGATGTCAACTTTTGCCAGCCACTAAAAATATTTAAACATCATTTAATTGAGAATATATCAGATGTGTCTGTATTTAGCACAAAGATGATCAGAGCCCTCTCTAAGACTCTCTGTCCCCACCACTCAGATAAGATATGAATAGTGTGTTGTGCGGTTTTGTTTTCTTTTAAGCTTTTGCCCATCTCTCCCAATATACTTTTTCATTCTTTCTAGCATTTTATTTTTTCTCTTCTTTCAATGACTTTCTCTTCTGCTCTGAAGATTCCGTTCCTTTCCTCATAAAATTCTGTACACTTAAGAGTCTCCGGTTTGGTTTCTGGTGCTCTCAAAAAAGAAAAGGAATGGAAAATGCTTCACAGATTCAGCAAATAAATAACACACTAATCACAAAGATCGCTCTGAAATGTCTGCGCAAAAGCCAGTGCACCTCCAGCTGCCACTCTCCGGACACCCTGGACTTCCTGATTTGATGATTTAGATACTTTTCTACTTAGGCGGATAGTGCCATTTTTGCAGAATTCAGCATGTTCGTGGAAAAATTTCTTGGAGCCAAAAGCCAACCCCACTGCATTTCTGCTTGGTAAGGTTTGGTGGCCTTGGCATGGGCAGGAGCTGTTGATTCATCGGCCTTTAAACAGATGATAAATCTAGAAGCTGGGCCACAGTACTAGGCTGCCTTCCTAGAACCTCCGCAGGGAATCAGCAGCCCCGATGCTGCTGCAGGAAATCCGTGGAAAAAGACGTGCAGGAAACTTGTGTTAAGAAAACCTCCGGAAAAATTAGGGATAGGGAAGGCTCGGGGAGGCTCATGTGAGAGGGTGTCGGTGAGAACTTGGGACGCTTCAGATCCGACTCGCCAGCCTAAAGGGTGCTTCTGCTTCTTGAGATGTCCGTTTGCTGTTTATTTTTTGAATTCTAAATATCTAAATCTTGTATCGTGAACCTCTCTTGAGATGATACGATTTCCCGTAATCTCATGGCAGAGACCGTTTATTGTAATGTACGGCATTGTTCTAATTGTGTTTCCTTCGTGTGCATAGGCACAATCCTACGTCTGTTTACTTTTCCAGTGGTAATAGTATTTTCAGTTTAATTCTGCCTTCCCTTGGCAGGAAATAAAGCCATCGGAAAGGGTTACCAATGGTAGCTTTACCCCAGCTTTTGTGGAGACTTGTCTCGGGATAGTGTAGTGCAAATTACGACTGAAAATTCCAGCAACAGGAGGAAATACCTCCCCCAAAAGGAGAAAGCCTCTTTTTTTTTTTCCTGAGACAAAAGAAAATTTAAAAAGAATCTAAAAAATAGTTTTTCTTTATAGCCATACTTCTTTTCAGCCTGCCCTCTCGCAAAACCATGGTGCGCTCTGCAAAGTATAGCAAACAATCTGGTGTGAATAACCATTTTTTAATAACATCTTTTGGTGGGGGGTTTAAGAGGAAGAATCAAACGGATTATATATAATATCTGGTATTTAACTTAGAGTATGGTCAAGGTAAATAAATATCCTAACTATACATCATATATATTTTGATGTAGAGAAAAAACGGTATCCATTTGTTATCCTTCAATTAAATTACCACAGTCCCCAACTAGAATGTATATTAGGCATCCTTTTAAAAGACATTATTTTCATGCTCATGGGATGGAAAGGGAAATAAAAAAGGAATCTGGAAATAGGTGCATTTAATTCTCCCCAATTTAAATTTAAGTGGTACATCTTTAAAGGCAATAACAATATTCTTTTTTTTCCCCCATCATGAACACTTCCATCAATGAATTTCTTTAATGTTGATGATGGTTGGTGCAGTTTGAGGGAATCTGTATTTAGTCAGAAAATGCTTCAAGAGAATGACCTACCAGATGGGCCCCATAACAATGCACAGAGACATCAAACCACCCCAGACATTTGGTGCTTAGAATAATAAAAAGACTATAAAATTAGATTAGTTGGGTCTAATTTGGAATTGGTATATTCCCCACGCACCCTCGCCGCTCTTGGGCAGATAAAGCCTTGAGATTTAGCACGGTGTCAGAGCAGAAGACTGCAACTTCCAGTAAAAGGCAGACGAGGGAACGGGAGAGAGGAAAAAAGCATTCTGGGAGGTCGCGGAGGGCAGAGCAGTGACCTCCAATGATTTACAGGCCTTTAGCTTAATGAAATTGTTTCAGTGACATGACGGTAAGAGCTCGTAATGGATTGGATGCCCTAATGTAATGAAATTACTCCCTTCTGCCTAAAAAAAAAAAAAAAAAAAAAATGCGCAATTAATATTTACTGAGACCTGACAGCCTTTGGTGCGCTCGTCTGTGTAGTCCTCAGACAGTCAGAGAGGAGAGACGAGACGGAGCAGCGTGGCAGACAGGCTGGCTCTGTGCGAGCTCCTGGCGGGGACAGGCAGAGCCTGCAAGGGGGTGGAGGGACAGGCGCTCGGCGGCCGGCCCGCCCGGCCCCTCGGCGCTGCCCCGCTCAGCCTTCACGCTGTCCCTCGCTTTCCCACAGGCAACTGGACAACAACCACATCAGCTGCATTGAAGATGGAGCCTTCCGAGCGCTGCGCGGTTTGGAGATCCTGTGAGTTGATTTTGCGATTCCTGCCTTGTGTGTGTGTGAGTGTGTGTGTGTGTGTGTGGTGTCTGCGTGTGTGTGTCCCCGTGTGGGAAGGAGACGGGGAGTGTGTGTGCAGAGGGGTCCGTGTGGATGCCTTTCTGGGCTTCCTACTGCAGTGCTATTAAAATTGGGAACCGGGAGATCCCTCCGGCTCACCTTGGCCAAAGTGTTTGCAGGCAGCAAAGTGTGATTTCTCACCTCCCGCAAACTGGGGTTCCTGCTAATTAAGTCTCAATTGAGTGTTTCTCCCCCCACGAGGCTCCCCGCAGTATTTGTTGCTGGGAGAGACAGATGGGCTGGAGCAGCCCCCCAGAGCCAGCCAGAGCATTCGGGGAGAGTGTGTTTGAGTGAGGGCACGCCGGAGACAGGTTCCGGGTCTGGGGCGGGTGAGAGAGGGTGAGCACCCGGAGGTCAGCTGGAATCACCCAGAATCGGAAAGGGACCTTGGCACAGGATGGGGGGATGCCAAACAGCCTGGGAAAGTCCAGCCATTGCCACTGCTTTCATCTCAGGTTTCAATTCAAACTTTCAGCAGTGACCGTGACCTTAAAGCAGCAGGGAGGAAAAGATGAGAGGAGGTGGCCCCTTCCCCACAATCACACCCTCTGCACCTTGTTAGACAAAAAAATCATGTCGCTCTCCTGTGTTCTGGATTTTCAAATGGGTCTAACTAAGGAAACCTGATTTCCAGGAGGAAAGTCGGCTAGAAGTCATCTTGGGGTCATTCAAACTGAAGTTGAATTGTGTAAGAAAACATTTTGATTGTTCCACCAAAGCCAGCCACACTCTGGCTGTCGCTGATTTCGAGAAACCTGGAGAGGATGGCAGTGCAGCACAGTAGGACTTGTGTCAGGAGACGCGTGGTTCGGTTCCGATCCTGCCGCTGATTAGCTGTGTGACCTTGGGCGAGTCTTTTCGGCTCTCAGAGCCTCGGTTTTCTCACTTGCAAAATGAAGGAGTTGGTTGCTCTATCTTGGAAGTGACTTCCCCTTTCCAAATTCTATAATTGCTTGGTTCTAAAAATAATTCTGATGGTGCTATTCTAGCCAATGAGTGAAAGAGAGTAGAGTTTCCCGAGCATCCCTCTAAAAATAAAAAATTACATAGTCACAGGTTACCTATCTCTGATTCCAGAAGACTGACTGAATGAATGCAAAGTAAATAAATGAATAAAGACATTCAAATGTTCCTCTGTGCTTTAAGGGGAGAGAAAAGGGTCCTCCCTTCACTTGTCTTTCCACCTGGCCCCTCAGACACCAGCAACGGGTTGGGGAGACTCCGTCCACGTTGTTTGAGGGGAAGGTGATTCCAAGAGGAATCACGGGAAATAAAAGGGGATGCTGATGCTGCAAGCTGCTTGAAATTGGATGAAAGCCGAGAATTCCTGGTACAGAACAGACAAGACCCAGAGTGAGGAGGTCAGATTGTCATTCCCGAGATGGATGGCCTCTCCTCACCCAAACTCTGACCCTGGAAATGGCATCAAATGCATGTCTGCAGGGAGAGGGTGCCAGCTTCAAATTTAGCGACCTAGGACTTCTCTCATCAGGAGGCTGGGAACTGAGAAGGGTAGGCATGATTTTCTCTGCCTGCAAAATAGCGGTTGTAGAAAGGGCTGCTAGGAGCATATCACCTTTTTCCTCCTTTGACAGAGAGAATGAGAAAGATGAGAAAATTCCCTGGGAAGAGACCAGGAGATGGAAGTCACCAGCTGCCACGAAACAGCTGTGGTGACCTGACAGCCGCATGTTCATTCTCTGCTGGGAGCGGTGGTGTCTCGCCTCACCAGGAAGGCAGTCCAGGGTAGAGGAGAAGGCTTTACAGCCAGGCACACCTGGGTGTGCAATCCAGAGGCCATGGGACTTGGGTCAAGCTTCTCAACTTCTCTATTTCCTCAACTTCATGAAGAAACAACTTCTGTACTACATAGGAGGGGCTCCCATAAACATTGTTCCTTATCCTTCCTAACTTATGTCCCTACATACATGCCCTCACCCCCACCCAACCCCTGCCCAGGACAGGAATGGTCAGTTCCACTCAGATGTTTGCTATTTAAAAAAAAGATATCCAGATCTACCAGGTGTCTCAAAAAGTTGAAACTTAAAACCTGTGACCAAAAAGGAAAAAAAAAAGTTCTCATTCTCCATCATTACAAAGAGCCCACAGGATATGATTAGTTTATCTTCTCAATTCCAAACAAAGCCAGATCAATAGCATTATTTTAAAGATGCTCTCATCTGGCTTCACAAGGCTAAGTGCTTAAAATTAATCATAATCAGTTATTCCATGGGTTTTTAATTTCCAGCAGAGGCATACGGCTTTGAACCATCCATCTTAATGGTGAGCCATTCTGAAATTGGCTGGAGCTGACATCTCCATTTAAAGAACCTCCCTTCCCCACCCCCGACCTTCCAAATCTCATCCCCACGGTACTGTTTTATAACACTTCTCCATGATCACTATGTAGGTACTGTAAAGAATATTGGCAATGAAATGATAAAAAGGACTCAACGAGGGTATCACATGTTAACTTAATAAATTTTTCAGGGACAAGAGAGTTCAAAACACCCTATCCCCAGAAAGGTCATTTGCAAACTTCAAAAGCTTAAAAGTCTGCAAATTAAGAAGACAGAATGTAAGATTTGGTGTGTGTTTTCTGTGACATTAGGCAGTAGGAAACAATACACAAGGAAAGCCTCATGATTATAGGCAGTCCCTGAGTTACAAGCATACAACTCACACTTACCAACGGGCTGCTATGGGTGATATGTAAATGTACCTGTTCCAGCTTACATACAAACTCAACTTAAGAACAAATGTACAGAACCTATCTGGTTCATAACCCAGAGACTGCCTCCAAATTGGAAGGCTCTCGAAATTAACTTAAGAAAAGTTTGTGGATATCAACTACTAGTAGAAATATTTCACACACGAACACGTAACCCTGTTATTTCATCCTTCCTGTGGGTGGAAATGCTGTAAACTTCTTTCCATCCAGGCTGGGGTTGGTTCCACCAGTTCCACTGAATGAGAATTTAGGAGGTGAGGCTGCGAAGGAACCACTGAAATCAACCACCTCCACCTCATTTTGCGGGGGTGGGGGGAGGTCTGTCCAGCACGAAGACTGGTAGACAAGAAAAGGAGCCAGCACCCTCCCCTTTCCAGGGAGCATGGAGAAAATCATAGTTTGGGTGAGACTTCCCAAGGCTCCGTGCCAGTGCAGGGGCAGAAGAATGAGAGCAAGGATAACAGTGAGCGGTTACTCACCCTACCCCTGTAACCTGCGCGCTCACCCTAGCTCCTGTCATCCTCACAACCCCTGCTATTATCATCACCCTCCTTCTACAAGAAGTAGCCAGTCTCAGAAAGGCCAAATAACTGCTTAACTAATTCACAGCAGAGCCGGTGTGATTAGCCATTCCACCAAGCTGCTCCGTGGGGCTGAGCTGGTGAGCCTGTTGTGGTGTTTGGCTCCCCTAAAGCGTGGCTGGCGTGCACTGCAGGATGGTGAGAACCGGTCTTGGCAAACCACCAAGCGACTTCCAATCTTGCTGGGGAGAAAGATGGAGCCTCCCACGAGCTCGTAAGATTGTCCTTGTTGCTCCCTTGACCCAGTTAATAGGCCCCCACAAAGTTAAAGTTAACAAACTCACAGGAGGAAGAAAATAAGCCTGCCTCTACACTGATTTACATTGTCAGCCAGAGATGATTTATTCTCAGTCCTGGCCACCATCAATGGACTTTGTCATGCAACAGTTTGGGGGTCTTGTTTTCCAGACATTGCCCATCTCCCAAATATACAGCCTCAACTTTGTGCTTTTTAATTGAGGGACCCAAGCTCTGTGAATTAGACACCCTTCTGTTACCCCAGTCATTGCCTTTAATTGCCACCTGTTTTATACATTTAGAGATTCACATATAGTACTCGATTTCCTCCAAATAAATCGTGCTTATGCTGCAATTGAACATGCAGAAATGGCATTCCCAACTCTGTGCGGTCGGGAGTCACCGTGGCAGGGGTGAGGCTGGGTGTCAGGCACTTCAGGTGAAAGCAACACTCCCTGCCCAACATGCCATCGTGGGTCAGAAAAGACGCTTAACTCTAATGAAAAGCAAATTAAAAGTATGGACATATAAAACAAAAAATGAGAAAATGTAGTTAATAAAAAATAAGTCATTAAATTTTTTTTCCAATAGTATTACAGGAGAAGAAAAGGTATTTTCAGACAGCGTCTCCTGACCAAATGTAGCAAGTCCGATGTTCAGTAAATACGCTGTCAAAAATACCAGACCATAGATATCAGCAGCACATCCTGAAAATGCTCTTATCTTTCAGTGAGTGGTCTGCCTTTGATAAATCACTGGAACCAGCTAAATCATATGGGGATCCAACAGGTCTGTAGATAACCAGCATGTGCTGTTTTGGAGCTCTGACCCTCATTTATGTCACTTGCCAGATTTGGAAATTTAGTGACATTATCATAGGCTGGTGGTGGCAGGACTGTAGGTGTCTCCAGGATGACCTATTCTTGTCCAGATAAGTTGCACAGAGGAGGCAGTGGACCTTCCTTCCATACCCTGAGCACCTCGCCCGGCTCACTCAAGCCCCAGCCTGGCTAGGAGACTTGCCTGAGGTCAACAACAAGTTGGTGGTCGCAGAGGAACCAGTCCTCGGGGCTCCAGACCATGTTCTCTGCCCTCATTGGGTACCTCTATGCAATTTGGCTATTCAAAGGGACCCTCACCCCTGTAAGACTGGGGGTCTTAAGCACAGTTTATACTTTCAAAGTCCATTATTACGTTTTTGATATTATTTAGGAGGTTGGGAGTGAGTGAATACTTGTCCATGACAGAATCAAGGGATTCTGACTCTGATCCAAACTTCAGCTCTCTTTAAACTAGAGGTTGCAAACTAGACTGCTAACTATATTGTGCCCACAGATGAGAATGGTTTTGTCTTGTAG